AATTTTGAGTGGGGGAAAAAAACAAAAACAAGGTAAGTTACAGAAGACTGCTTGATTCCACATCTATGAAGTTCAAAATTATGTAAACCAAGCAATAGATTGTTTAGGAATATATAAATAAGTGGCAAAACCATATAAACAAGCAAGAGAACAATAAACATAAAATTCAAATATATTATTAGCAACCGGAGTGGAAAGATTATAACTTATTTCTACTTCCTTCCCCTCACCTCCCCCCACCGTATGGACACAGTTTAGCAGGGAACTCAGAGCTGTGCAAATTGGATCCCGAAAAAACATCAGATAAACAGGTTTATATTCAATTTCACTGCCTTTACTTCCTGACTTCACAAAATATGTTTTTACAAAGAGTGGTAGTAGAAATAAAGGATAATCTTTTTTATTAACAATTCTCCAATTTCTCTTCTTTCCTGTAGTGTAGAACTATAGTCTATAAACCATCCACTTTTTCTAGAAACCAAAGCTTCATTAAGAACAGATACCCTGAAGAATCAATCACACCTTTCAAAAGCTGCCTCTCTGAACCTTTCAGATGAAAAAAAAATCATTTGGTTTTATAAATTACCCGATTGAGACTCATTATCTTTCAAATTTACTCGTAATTTGGATTAAACTATCCATAATCACATTCATGATTAGCATAACCTGTGTGAACTATGCTTCATTTCAGTAGATGCTTTTCTAAATAAAATCTGAGTCACATTTTGAAAGAACTTGTATTTACCAGAGCTCTTAAATGTAACTGTGAGATGCAGGCTTCCCATTATGAGTCCATAGTACAGTTAGTTTACAATTAGACCACAAATTTCTTTTGTATGAATCCATATTTTCCTCATGTCTACACTTCTTAGAGCTACACTTTTCAGGAAGAGTAGTAACTCCGTAATAGAAAGAAGCTAATTTCTCAGTGATTCATTGGATTAGCACGTTATTCAAGGACTCTTTGGGCCTTAATTCTAAGAAAATAAAAAGAATTTGAGGTAAGCAAAACAGGCTTCTTCTTTGAATTATAATGCTTTCTGACATTCCTGGGCTCTTGGTTTTTAAGACAGTGTCCGCCATGGTTTTTAAGACAGTGTCTTACAGGTAACAAAAAGAAAAAAAAAATAAGGATAATTTTTTTTTAACAGGTAGTCATGAATGTCAAATAAACTAGTTTGCCATGACGTTTTGGAATGCCAGAGAAAAAGTAGAGCCATGTATTTTTCAAGATTGCATAGTTTAGTTTCTTTTTGGCAGCTCTTAGTCAGAATGTTGTATAAATTCTTTGAGAGATCCAAATTAATTCCTTTACATAATCGGGTACTTATAGTTAATAATTAATGTAACCATTTATTTTAAAAGTATACCACACCCACTTCTGAAAAGGTTTGAGGCAGTTTACATATTAACATAGCTCAAAGGCATAGTATTATGTTCCAGTACTAAATAAAACAGACTCTAGAAAACAAAGAAATTGATGCTATCAAGGACCAGTCATGTTCTGCCTCCTTTGAGTGGCTCCCCACCGCAGACCCTACCTCCTCCCTATACTCTCCGGTGGGGGCTGTTTGTTTATGAACTTGCCACTGAACCAACAGGGGCCTGGGCTAGTCCAGCAGAATCAGCAGGTCAGTCATGTGGGTTAGAGTGTGACCTTTGCATCCTAACTGCCTAGACTGGAATTGTGGCTATGTACTTTGAGCAAGTTATTAAACGTCTCAGAGCCTCAGTTTCCACTTTGGAAATTGGGGCTAATGATAGTACTTACCTCATAGGTGAGAATTAGATGAGTTTAGTATACATAAATCACTTAGAAGCTAGCACACTGTGCTCTAAATAACTATTAGCATTTGCCCATTTAACCTTCCTCCAATTTCCTATAAAAATTCCCCCTTTGAAACTTGTACCTCTTAAATTTACTATCTTCTATCCCTTCTGGTTGTTCTCATCACTCCCTGACATGTATCAGAGACTCTGGAACATGGCTTATGCTTTTTCCCTCCATCCCGAATCTGCCATAATCCTGCTCTCTTCACATGGATGACCCTTCCAATATCCAGCACCTGGCTTCTTCAACTTCAATAGCCTTCATCTCCACAGATATCAACAACTCATCCCTTTCCCCTTGTCATCGCCTGGAGCTACTCCGCTTGTAACTTCACCCACACTGCTCAACTTTTTCACCACCAGCTCCTGTTACCCTCATTGTTCCAATTGTACCTGCTTTTCCACCAGAGCTGGACTGAAGTCCTACCGTTGCATTCTATGTATTAGACTTTCTTCTGGTTTTGCTTCTGTCTCCACCCTGCTTTGGTTTAGTCCTTCAACCTATCTCTTTAAATAATACCTCCACCCTGCTGTAGTGGCTCAGTTAGTGGAGTGTTGTCCCATGAACCAAGAGGTCACCAGGTTGTGGGCTTGATCCCCAGTAGGGGGTGTGCAGGAGGCAGCCGGTCAATGTTTCCCTCTCATTTCTCTCTCTCTCTTCCTCTCCCTTCCTCTCTCTCTCAAATCAATAAAAACATATTTAAAAAAATAAACAATACCTCCAACTTCTCACTTCTCTTGCTCCATTTTCCTTCTGCAATACTTACCCAAATGTGGATCAATCCAGCCTTCCTTGCTCCTAAAACCGCACTAAGTAAGTCACTCAGCTACTGCACTGGAGCCCTGTCCTCAGCTGAGCCCACAGCACAGGCTGGCAGCTTCCTCCATGGCCCCTCGCCAGCTCTGCATTTCTTTGCAAACTTCCTACCCACCACTCTCTCACATGTCATATCCGGTCACCAAGTTCTACCTAAACCATCTAAATATCTCTTGAATCGAAAAGCTCTGGTTCATTTTTCTTTGCTTCTCTTCATCTCTAATCATCTTTCTCCTCTCCAAAAATTTTTCCTCTCTGCTGCCAAAGCAATCTTCCTGAAGTTCAAGTACCATCATGTTCCCTACATCCTTACTATCCTTCAGTAACTCCCTACTGCTTTCTGATATATGCCTCATTCCATAGCTTGGCCCCAAGGCCCTCTGTGACCAGGCCCCTGTTCACCTCTCTAGATTTCTTTCTAGATCTGTCCAACCTGTATCCTATACACTCAATTGCTTGTACTTCCTTCACTGTGCCATATTCTCTCAGATCCATGCAGCTCCTTTGCAGAGAATGTCCTTTTTTGTTTCCTACTTGGATAATTCCTTCTGGCCTTTTAAGGTTCAGTTCAAACGTCACTTCTTGTCAGCTTCAGTGTACAGACTTCCCTGACCCTTCCTCCTTGACCTTTCCCTGACCCTTCCCCTTCCTGACCAGGCTGGTCGAGTGTCTCTCTTTGTCTTTCTTTGTGCGTATTCAAGTATTTAGCGTTGTTCCCCAGTAACAGGCACAAGTAAATAGTAAGTTCATGAATAAATGAAGACATCCCATTTCCATTAAATAATGATAAAAACTATAACAGCATTTCACTTTATATGTCCATTTAGAATAGAGATCTTTAAAACTGAAGCGGAATTCATTTTGACAAGATCGATATGATAGAGTGACTGGACACTCCAGTTAGCTGGTTTGGTGGCTCAAGCTCTTAACTGGCTGAGTAAAAAGCAAGGACATGATTGACAGTTACCATTTACTGAGCAATACTGGGAGCCCAGCAGTATATCAGGCACCGAAGATTGTCTTCTAGCTCCCCTCCTGACAGCAAGAAGACTTCAACAGCTTTAGGCATCACATCCCCATAGATCAACACTTAGGAGTCAGAGAAAGGTCTGCTTCTCTTTTGTGTTTCTTTGTTAAAGAGGGAAAAGAAATCCTTTCCCAGAACCCTCGCCCTATTTCCACCATAAGAATATCTCCCTCCAAACTGAATGACAAGCCAGGTTATAGTTCAATGCCTTAAACTGGTCACAGGCAGGCATCGGAAACGGAAGCATTATTTTGGATTAGACCAATCAGGATTTACCTGAGTCACCTGAGGGAAGAGGTCACTAAAACAAAATTAGGGCCCTAATTAAGGATGAGGAGTGAAATGGCTGTTGGGAAGGCAATTAGTTGTCTTTGCTAAAATGAGTGTCATTGTTGAATAAAGGTCAGAGTTGAGGTCAGGCACATCACAGTTTGATTCCCATGTCTTCCATTTTCTTGTTGGTGTGTATGTGACCTTGGGCAAATCCGTTCTCCTCCCTGAAAATGAATTTCCTCATCTGTAAAATGGGGATAGCAAAACCTAACTTTTAACATAACTGTGAAGATTAAATAAAATAACATACATAATGTTGCCTACCACAATGAACTTCATTCATTAAAAAAATTTTTTACACCTATGATGTGTCAAGTATTATGCTGCGGGTATAGTGGTAAATAAGATGGATATGGTCCCTCCCTTCATGTAATTTATTAGCATTAAATGTTAGTTTTTTTAAAAATCCCTAATTTTGCTGACTAAAAACTTCAGAAGCACTTTGACAATCACTTTTTAAAGAAATTCCTTGTTTTCAGGAGTGCTTATTGCTTCTGAAGTTTTATGTTTAATATGTGAAGGTTTACAATATTTTTTTTTCTTTCTGTTTAATTTAAATTATCAGACATTTACATTTTATGAGTATATTTTCACTGTGAGTGTTATCCTGATTCCTAGAGAGAAGACAATTGGCAAAGTACAATATCTTTAAAAGTGAACAACCAAGACAATATCCAATATAATCTTGTAACCCTGAGAAAAAAATCCAGATGCAATAATGTGTAGTCCACCCACTTGAGTAGTTATATACTTGGTCTACAGTCAAGACAGATTCAGTTTATGGGGAGGGTTAGTCTTCACATAATAAGATCAATCAGGTAATTAGGGATACCCATTCCCCAACCATGATCATTAACAGTTTTTATTTTTTAATCAAATGAACAATACAGTTAAAGAGGCCAGATAAGACTAATCTCTCCAAAAAATACCAATAACACATATGCTTGAAAGTATAATTAAGATTATTGCAGCAGATTAAGGAGTCTCTCTTACCTTAACCTTGTTTTTGGGATACAGGAAGAAAAACGGTTTTAGAACAGGAGATCTAGAATATAATACAAAAGAAGGGACAATAAACATTAGATTTACAAATCTGAGGGCTCAGAAAAGAGGGGGGTGGGGTTTCTAGACCTCTACTCACTTGTCATGCCAGACAGGCCTCTACCTAGTTTTCCTACTGACCATATACACAAATCTATTTCTTGTTTGCATTTCCCTTTGAGCCTACCAAGGAGCACTCAGACTTCTTCATCAGAAAGTGCCTTTATATACACAAAAATCAAGCATTAGTGGGTCATTAAAAGTTGAATGAAAAAGTTGTTTTTCTAGTACAACCTCTGGATTTTCACCAGTACATTCCTTCATCCAGTCTCCCATAAGACCAAGTAATTACCTAAAAGAAGTGTACATGGAGCCAGGACATAATTTCTAGACATGAACAGAGATAAATGGCCTTTGGAATGATCTAATACTTAAGTTTAACCTAAATAACAAATATAAGGTTCAGAAGGAAGTTGACTTCTCTAATGTGGGCAGACAACAAAGTATAAGAAAACCCCACAAGGTTATAAACAGGAAAGGAACACAGACACAGAGAAAGCACTGAATATTTGTGGACTGAATTGACCAAGAGGTGAAACTAGAGACCAAGTATGTTATTATTAAATTGCATGGTGTGTAAGATTAAGTTTATGGGACCAAATATCTTGGGGTCCTTAAACATTTTTAAACCTTTTTATAGTGAAATATAATATTTATAGAGAAAAGGTCAAGGAACAAACATGTACAGTTTGAGGATTTATCACAAAATAGCATCCATATAATCACCACCAATGTCAAGAAACAGATTGCCCTGTACCAAGTGGCGCTAGGCCCAGCACTAGTGGCAGCTGGCCTTGGTTCACAGCTTGGCCTCACCTGGGCACCTCCAAGCCCAGCACAAGTAGCAGCCATATACATATTGTTTTGCAGCTCATGCCCAGTGGCCCTGAGCAAAACACAGGTGGCAGCTGACCTTGGCCTGCACCTCCCAGGATGCTCCAGAGCCACTGTACTCGATGGACAGCCCAGCAACCTCCACAAGTGACACACTCAAGGGGAGGACTCAGTGGGCTCCAGAGCCCCAGTGAAGTCATGGTCTGTGGGATGGGCCCTGCACACTTGATCCTCCTTGGTGGTAGGAGGTCCGTGGTCAAAGACAATTGCAGCCAATTGACCTGAGGGTAAATCCCTCCCATGGACGTGTAAATAGCAATCAAGTCTCGCCTACAACAGGAGGGTGTACACAGCGCACTCGGGGGTGGGGGTGGGGTGCACCTGGAGTGCCCAGCTTGGCTGACGGGGGAGACTGTGGAACACCGACTACATAAGGCCACTCTAACAAGCCTGGGAGATGTAGGAACTCTGCCTAATACATAGAAACAAACAGGGAGGCTGCCAAAATGAGGAGACAAAGAAACATGTCCCAGATAAAAGAAGAGAACAAAACTCCAGAAAAAGAACTAAACAAAAAAGGAGACAAAAAAGTGATCTAGTGGATGCAGAGTTCAAAACACTGGTTATAAGGATGCTCAGTGAACTAAAAAAGAACCAGTCAGAAATGAAGGATATACTAACTGAAATGAAAAATTTACAGGGAATCAACAGTAGACTAGATGAAGCCAAGAGTCAAATCAGTGATTTGAAATATAAGGAAGCAAAAAACACTCAGCCAGAACAGGAAAAAGAAAACAAAATCCAAAAAAATGAGGATAGTGTAAGGAGCCTCTGGGACAACTTCAAATGTACCAACATTTGTCTCATGGGGGTGCCAAAAGGAGGAGAGAGAGCGAGTAATTGAAAACTTATTTGAAAAAATAATAAAGACTATAAATTAGCAAAATAGATAGGTCAGATGGTAATAAGTGCCCTAAAAAAAATAAAGCAAAGTAGGGGGACAGAAAGTGTTAGATGATCTTAGGCAATATTAAATAGGGTGGTCAGGTGGTTCTCTTTGAGAAAATAACTTTTGGGATAACACCTGAAGTGAGGGAGGGAACCATGAGCATTTGAGTCAGAGTGAGGAGAAAGTGCAAAGACTTTGAGGTAACCTGGAAGGGAGGCCAGTGCATGAGGCTGGAGCAGAATGAGTGCCTGCAAGAAGGTGAAGATTAGAGAACAGAGATTGGGCAAAGCCTGCTAGACCATCTTCAGGACTACGGCATCTACTCTAAGTAAGATTAAAGATTGGAACAAAGGAGTGATATCATTTGGCTTACATGTTTAAAGAAAGAACATACATTCATAGTAGCACACAGACACAGACAACAGTGTGGGGAAGGCCTGAGAAGGGGGGGCGGGGGCTGGGTGAAAGTGGACAAAAGGGGAGGACGGGGGACATCTGTAATAAAGTTAGTGACAACAACAAAAAATTTATAAAAAAAAGTCACTCTATTTTAAGAACAGATTATAATGGGAAGTAGAACCAGAGTGACCAGTTAGGAAATTACTGCAATAATTCAGGCCAGAGATGACAGTGATTGGAACCAGGGTGGCAACAGTGAGGGTAATAAGTGGTCAGACTTTTGACATATTTTGAAGACACAGGCACAGAACTATGGCTGATGGCCTGTACATAAGACACGAGAAAAGGGAGTAGTCAGGGGTGACATGAAGGTTTTTGGCTTGAAGTTGTCATTTACTGAAAAGAGGGGAGACTGGTCAGATTGGGGTAATGGGGTTGAGTTTGGGACATGCTAAGCATGAGATGTTTACTAGGCATCCAAATGGAAGTTGTTAACAGGTAGTATATGAGCTTGAGGACCAAGGAAAACAAAAGAGCTAGAGAAATAAATCTGACAGTCATTGGCATATAGGTGGTATTTGAAGGTAATGATAAAATGAACTCATCAAAGGCGTGAGTGCAGGTAGAAAAGAAGAGAGGTCCAAGGACCATGCCTTGAGACACTGCAGTGTTTCCAAGTTAGGGAGGAAGAGAAAGATCCAGCAAAGGAGATAGAGGAATTTCTGACAATGAGACAGGAGACTTCCACAGGAAGCTAGTGTCTTGGAAGCCAAGTTAAAAAAGTATTTAAAGGAGGAGAATCATGACCCATGGTGCCAAATTATGCTCAGAGTGCAAGTAAGATGATGACAACAGACCTTTGTATTACACAAAATAAAGGTACGGGAGACCTTGACAAGGGCAGTTCTGAAGGACCGATGGGGTGAAACCCTTCTCTCTTGTAGAGGGGTCAGGAGAGAATGGAGAGAAAAGAATGAATAGTACAGACAACACTTTTGAAGCTCTTTTTCTGCCTTATCAGACTTGTAGACAGAAAGAGAATCCATGCATTCTTGATCAAGCTGACACAAATACATACTGGAACCCAGCAATCTTAACATATCATATCTTATCTCATCTCCAAAGAATAGAACACAAAGCGGCTAGAAAATTCCACTAAAGCACAAGAATTTACTTCATTTTCTACAAAAATAATTACCAAGAGAAATTGAACTACAGGTTCTGGCAGAAGTACTAACCTAAACGAGATGGCTACCTTCCTCTAATTTTGTTAGGTGAAGCTAAGTAAGTCTCCATTGTCAATAAATTGTATTTCCCCCATTGTAAATTGGTGGTTGGAAAAACAGATTAGCTAAGCCTTATTTTTCTATTCCCTAGAAAAGCCATTTATCTCGAGAACTTTAACCCCAGGGACCAATTCACCTTTCTGAGTCATCTAGGATCAGTACAGGAGATTCTCAGATAGGCCACCTTACTGCTCGGGAGCCCCAGTCGGCTCCGGGGAGTCTCAGGAGAGTTAATGAACAAGATGTGCCAGGAGGACAGGCCTGGGATCCCCAGACCTGCCTTGTTCTCAACCCTATGCAGAAAACTATGTGAGGGGAAATAATATATAAAAAACAAACTTTAGCATGTCGTGAGTAAACTTACACTTTTGGACGACCTCCAACCACTGCCATCAGACCGGGTGCTAAAGAGAAAAAAACATTGAAACTATTTCCTTCTTACAATATAAGGGTTTGATAAATTATTATACTATAACCTCATGTGGTCCGTTGTAACAAAGGATTAATTTTCTAATATAGAGTGCTATTAAGCTCTTCAGAAAATGCAAGCTAAAACAATGTCCAGAATTCATAATTAGGAATCAGTAAATGGAGGAATAATTTAGCAATTAAAAATTCTTATGGAATAGAATCAAGTTATTATTACAACTGAGAAAGCTAAAAGACAAGAAAGCAAACAATTTTCATCACAGTAATTGAGTCACATTGTACTTTTATGATACATTCTTCTATTTTAAATATTCAATTTGTAGGATTAATTCTTTTAACAGCCAACAGAAACCTTAAACTTCATTGCAGAAAATCCTTTTTGGTTGTGTTTTGTATTCTTTTGTGTGCGTGTGTGTGATGGGGACATCTTCTCTTTGCTCCAAAAACCAAAATATAATCAGAAATTTTTAGCCTTCTTAGACAGAACCTTTAAACTTGAGCTATAGAGAAGAAAAAAGGTACTAACTTGTCCTCTCTCTGTCCATATACACCACCTAGTGGACTTATAATTTAATTAAGAATGAGAAAAGACTTCTATGATCTAAGAACTCAAATTACAGAGGTTGGCTAAAATATAATACCTTATAAAAATACAGCAAGAAAAATACTATAAGAAAACAATAAGGGTTTGGCATATAAGAGTATCTTGTCTGTACATTAAGATGATCTTTGAATGTTATCTTGATATTTAGGTAGTTGATACATTTGTAAAAGGTAAGGAAGGAATCAAGAAACTATACTGTGGGAAATAATCATAAAATTAAGTTACTCAGAAGAAAAAAGTTAACTTTCATTTATAATATAAAATTCTTTTATGCAAGCATGCAATAGTTAGGTGAATTTCACATTATATTAAGAGTACAACCAGCATTGAAGACTTATGTATATTTCACTTTATACTATATCCTCATAGTATTCTAATACTATATAGGGCCTTAGAAGTCAACTAGTCTAGTTTTCTGACTTTACTGACAAGAGAACTGAAGTCCAGAGAAGTTGAGTGATTTGATGAAAGCCACAGTTAGGCAGTTGTAGGACCAGAACTCAGATCCCTTGGATCTCAACAAAATGATTTTTCCACTACCCCTCCTGATAAAGTAAAAAGTGGCACTCAGAGCAGACACTAAGTAAAATGCACACAAATAAATATTTAATTGCATTCTTTTATGAGAGAGACTAATGAGGGAACCTAACTTAGATTGGAGACGTTTTCTCGGTGGAAGTCACTGATAAAAGAAGGGACTAAGTAAAGGAAATAAGCATTTCAGGCAGCAGGAAAAAACAAACAAAGGCACATGTACTTTCTCATCTTTGAGGAGAGAAAGGACATGGCATTTAGGAGGACTGAAAGTGGGCTGGAGTGTGGGGAACAAGAAAAAAGTCCCCAGTAGGCTTTCTGGAGAGACAGACAAAAGCTGGCCCAAGTGGGGCATGTGGTCCTGGACTGGATTTTCTCCTTAATGCAAAGGAGTCACAGAAGGATGCTAGGCAGAGAAGCCAAGTGCTCGTATTTTGACTTTTTCAAGATCCCTCTTTTAAAAACGTTTTTTCCTCATCAGTGTGTCTCCCAGTGTTCGGTTATGAGAGTTCAAACTGTACAACACTGTTCAAAACCGAACATTAGATGTCAGTGCTTTTATTCTGTGACAGTGTGATATTGCAGAGAAATTCTTCTTCTGTCACACTGTTTGTTCAGCGCAACCACCATATATGCTTAATCCTTAATCATTATTTGCATTATTTCTTTTTCTCAGTTTCCTTGGATTATAGTGTCTCTGTTACTGGTTTCTAAGAGCCTGTTTATGACTAAAGATGTTAACCACTTCTCATGCATTGCAAATGAAACACCATGCTTTCTATTATTTCACTGTGGGTATTCTACTTTTTGGTTGTACTGCAGTTGTGTATTGAATATAATCATGTTTAAAAAAACAAAACAATGTTTTTTCCCCCTTGAATGTACAAACTATTAAATTCAATGAAAGGGTATAAACATTATCATCTCCCTCTCACTCCTGTCCTACAACCAACCACCCAGCTTTCTATTCGAGACCAAACTTATTTTTTTTTCCCTTTTCTTTCTTTCTTTCTTTCTTTCTTTCTTTCTTTCTTTCTTTCTTTCTTTCTTTCTTTCTTTCTTTCTTCCTTTCCTTTCCTTTCCTTTCTTTTCTTTTCTTCTTTTTTCTTTTCTTTTCTTTTTCTTAACAAAAATTGTAGTGTACACATTCTCCTGCATTTTGTCTTATTCCCTTAACTCTCTCTGAGCAGTTTTCATATCAGCTCTCAAAAGCTACATAGTATACAAATGCTGATATACCACTGTTTATTTTAAATCACACACACACACA